TAATACATAGATTATAGAATCTAAAATACTGTTTTTTACATAATATTTATATATCTTTTATTATTATATTTGTTGAACAAAATAGAATAAGTCTTTTTAAATTATGTATAAATATAACAAAAAAACAAAACAATATTTCTTTAAAACAAAAAAGGAAAATATAACCAGTCTTTTGGTACTCAATTAAGTCCTTGAATGAGATCAGAAAAAATATTTACATAATTATTAATTAACTAATCTTAAAAGTATTAAGATTTAAGTATTTTTATTATACTTTAATAACAATTGATGTTCAAAATTATCATCAGTCATTCTTGATCTTTTGTTTCTCAATACATCTTTTCCAAAACTGAATAGTCTTTCAACTAATGCACTGGAAGGCAGATCTGTATTGTAACGCAAGTAAATTTTTTTTATAATCGGGAAACCAGCCAAGCATTCTGATGATTTCAAACCCTCATTAAAAAATCTGTTGAATTCAGCGAATCTAAGTGAAAATATAAATAATTTGATTATTTTTCTCTACTAATACATGTCCTTTTTTTTAAGTATTACCTGTCTTCTTCGGGTAATGCAACACTATCCATGTCTTCAAAACTGAAAAAACCTTTTTTTTTGCGTATAATAGTACCATGAACAATTCCAGTATTCTCTACTGGTAAAATATCTAGTGGTAAAAAAAGGTTAAATTCATCTTTTAATTTGTTTTTAACGCTATTTCTTTCATCATCTTTTAACCAAGCCAATTTAAATCTAAAATAAGAAAAAATAAAATATTCTTATATAAGAAAAATTAACATGTTCAGAACTTCAGAAGTAATTTATAAACATTTAATTATAATACAAAAAAAATATTTATATGAATATTTGATACTTTTAGGTTTGAAATTATAATAATTGAAATTGAAATAAAAATAAAATAATAACCTTGGGTGAAATGAAGCTGCTTTAACCAAACTTTCATCATAAAAGAAACTCTCAAACCGTTTATTAAATCCTTCTTTTAATGTCTCATTCAATGGTTGGCAAAATTTAAGATTTTGCTGGTTGAATTCTTCAAATGACTTCCTGAGTTCATATAGTGTTGGAAGCAAATAACCAACGGACACTGCTAAATCTCCTTGCAGGACGTCCAGAGCATCAGCTACAACACCCATGACCAACACATATTCCTATAAATAAAATAGTAAATATATTTATTAAACAATGTACCTATTTAGACCAAAAAGTTATACTTTATTAAGTGTTAAAATTACTTTGCAAAATTCGATTTCTTCTTTTGTAAACCTCTGCAAGCCAATTGAATCAATAAGTTCCACAAATTCCTCTCTTTTTGATTCGAATAGTTCATGAATATGATGTACAGAATCATATGTTGAATTCCACCTAGTTAAATTTGGTCGAATAAACTTTTTACCAAGTTTTTCTTCCACCATATCATTAACCACTGTAGATTGATGAGTTTTATTCCACAAATATTGACATTTACCGAAGAATGAACGATACACTTTTCTATATACAGTATTATGAGCGGTTTTATCCAAAGATTTCAATGCATCTTTTGAAGCAAGCAAGTTAAGTGTATGAGAAGCGCATCTTCTATGGGGTGGTAACACGATTCTATTAGTTACATCATCCAGTATATCTGTCAACATAACAGCATCAATTTCATCAGCAGACTCCTCATTGATATTTTCATCATCTTCATCATCATTAATGCCAAACACTCTGAATGCTTTAATAAAATTTGAACCATTGTCAGTCACTACAGATGTTATTTTGTTGTGAATTTTGAATTTCTTAAATATATTTTGTAGTTCTTCAGCCAAAATATTATAAGTATGTGAACCTCTAACGCGTTTACAGGCTAACGCTAAATTTTTTCGAATCAATGTATCTTCATCAATCCAATGACAGGATACTCCTAGGTACGATCTTGTAAATGCTGACCATAAATCAGCAGCAATACAAATATTTGAAACTTTTGAAAGTTCAAGGATGATTTTAGTGTCCATCTCTTGGTGTTTACTTAGAATCTGTTTATTGACTGTTTTAACAGTTATAGGAGGTCTTTTATTTTTAGTTAAAGTTTGCCATAACCGGATAAAAGAAGGGCGTTCAACTTCACTAATAGGGTGCATTCCATCAATAATCCAATCAATTAACACTGAACTTGTGCTAGCATTTCCAAAATTCCCAAAACCAGTAATACTATCTGTTAAGGTTAGTTGGGTTTCCTTAGGTTTTAGCGTTTTAGTGTTTGTTCCTTTACCTTCCATTTCAATTAATGTATTCAGTTCATTTATTTTTGAAGAATGCTTGCGCTACAAAAGTAAAAATTGTAAACAAAAATAATAAAAATACATATTATTATTAGTTATATTACTATCATAATATAACTATATGTATATAAATATATATAACTATATAAGTATATAACATAGTAACATACTAACATACTAACATACATACACATATTATACTATTATAATTTATAGTATATATAATAATTAATAATATATAAATATAATACATAAGACTATGAATTTATAAAAAAATGTGAAATAAAAATTAAGTTTTATATTTATATAAGATATTATGTTTTATACTTTTATAGTTTTATATGGACATATGGTAAAGTTATATTATCTTAAATGAATATCAAAATATGATATACAATTATACAAATATTCAAATATATTATAATTCTGAATTCATAATATATAATTATTAATTATATTATTATGTAGTAGGTATCGGTATGTACCTAGGTATATACAAATATTGAAATATGGCCTATGTGCATATGACAATGTGAAATATTATAAATTGATGCAACTATGCAAGTTGCCAAGTTATAACAATGAGTAGAACTACCTACTTAAGTAGTTATGACTTATTAACATGTGGTAAACTTGGAATAAATTGTCTTTTTAATAAATATCAAATATGTTATATCAAATAAAGATTAAAATTATTTACTTACTTCAATGTGTGTTTTTAAATTATAAGACGTAGTTTTAGACGATTTTATGGACTTCCTACATAAAACACAAGTAGTGTTGTAATTGCCTTTTGTGTCCGTTCCTTTATACTTATAAAACTTATTGAAAGCAGGCCACGGTAATTCGATACATCGAGTTATGTCATCATTATCCTCATATGATGACATAAATTCGGTGGCTTCGAGTTCTGTCATTTTTAATTCGATTTAATA